GTAAAGCACGTGCTATAGCCGCGCTATAGCCGAGCTATAGCCGAGCTAAGCACGTGTAGCAAAGGGACGTGCAGCATGCAAGGTTTCTTTCCGTACAGCATTTATTAATCAGATTTACTAATCAGATTTACTAATCAGATTTACTAATCAGATTTACTAATCAGATTTACTAATCAGATTTACTAATCAGATTTACTAATCAGATTTACTAATCAGATTTACTAAGCGAAGCGTTCCTTCTTTGTTCCGCGTCGAGTTCGTGTTTCAAATATTATAATTCACCTTTATTGAATCGAAGCATTGCATCGATTATCATTAAGTGACGCGTTATTTTCTTTGTTCCGCGTCGATTCATTGTTTCAAATATTATAATTCACCTTTAATGAATCGAAGCAATGCTCCGATTACGATTAAGCTACACTTTTATTTTTATATAAGTACTCGCTCCCTCTCCTTTTCCTTTTCTTTTTTTCATCATCACCTCAACACCCAACTTCTCAACCTCAACCTCAACACTTAACTTCTCAACCTCAACTTCAACACCTAACTTCAACTTCTTAACCTCAACACTCAACTTCAACTTCTTAACCAACCTTAACACTTAACTACAACCACATTCAACTTAAGTAATTATTTTCTTTTTGATTCCTTGCTTTTTGATTCTTTGCTTCAAGCTAATTATTTTCTTTATTTAGCAATGTCGATTCCCTTCCTTCATAACGCTATAATCGAGGTCAACCCTTTTAGCATTGATAGCAACAAGCTAATCAACGAGATACCTGGTCGCTACAAGGATTTCGTAGTCGTTTATGCTAATAATAGCGTTGTTAATTCAATGTTTACTTGCTATAACGAAGAGGATACCGCTTTGTTTCCAAGACCAATCGGCCTCGAGTACGAATAGAAGGGTCGCAAAGGTTTTATCGACGAGTTCGGCATCAAGCACTACGGTGCTAACAAGGTTAGTAATAACATCTATATTCTATGATCACTAATTGATTTTTTATTTAAAAGGAGAGCGCTCAGGTCCTCTGTCTCCTCGACCACTTTGTCTCTTTCCTCAACGCAATTGGAAAGCAATTCACTCATAAGGATGTCAAGGTTCGATTGATCTTAGGTGATCCTACTCTTGAGCTTTTCGATAGCGATCATGCCGAAGCTAAAAGCATCTTGAAGGAGCTATTGATGCCATACCCCTTCACTATCGATAGCACCTTGGTATACAAACGCCTCACCCTCAAGTTCTCGGATGAAAATGAGTTTAAGTGGAGCAACAAGTGCCAAAAGCTAGGAGAGCTACTTGAGTCAGACGAGATTTATCTGAACCATGCTTACAAGCAAGAGCTTGGGCCAAAGGCGGAGACCGAGTTGAACGTATTCTACGTAACTGCAGAAGGACGGGTCTTTATCAACTCTTTGTAACTAGTAGACTTAGGCTAAAGAACGGGTCTTTACCAACCCTTAGGCCTTTGTAACTAGTAAATTTGACTAATACTCTAAGTCTCTGATTAGTAAATGTGATTAGTAAATGTGATTAGTAAATATGATTAGTAAATGTGATTAGTAAATGTGATTAGTAAACCTGATTAGTAATTATGCATATACATATTTTTATGTATATAAACCCCATGGAGTAACCCCACGCCCCATGGGGTTTCCCCATGGGGAGGGGCAGAATTTTGTACCCCCCGTGGGTTCCCCCGTAGAGAGGACTCAAAACTCCGTGGGGCCCCATGGGGCCCCATGGAGCAGCCTAAGTATCGTTTTTACGAAACTCGGCTTTTAAAGCTTTAACGAAAGCAGCTTAATCTTTCTTAGCTTTTTATTCGAGCAAGCTTTTAATAACCTCTTTGCGAAAGTTATCGTAATAACGAAAGAGCTTAACGAACCGATCGTTTTTAAAGATATTAAAATTATTATAAGTCTCTTCGTACTTTTCGATAAAATCGGTGACATTAGTATTATTAAAGCAAAAAGCTCTTAAAGCACTTAACAATAGCATACGAGTAATCATAAAAGCGTAAAAGATAGCAAGATCGATTATAATTAACGCAAAACTTAGTAAAAAAGCAAAAAAAAGAAAATTAATATAGATCTTAAGACCGATATTGATTTTAAAAAGCATTTCCGAAGCAAGTGTTTCCGATAAAAGTAAAAGTTCTAATTGAAAGTCGAAGTAAAATAAAAATAGTCCGAAGCTTATAAGAACACGATTAAAAGATTTAATAAATTTAAAAGATTTTAACGAAAAGAAAAGTGATTCGGCGCCGACTTCGATATTAAGAATCTTAAGAAAGTTTTCGGTATTTTAAAAACTAAATATATATATATATTGAAAATGATCGGGTTAATAAAAGGTTTTTAAATTATTTAATTTTGACTCGTAAACCGGGTTTACGAGCAAAATAAGCGATTTTCGCAAAGTATTCTCGATCCGAAATTAAAAAGAATAGACTTTTTGCAAAAGTAAACTAATAATTAAAATTAAAATTATAAAAAACTTAAGAATCAATTGATTAGCTTCGCTAATAACTCCGGATTATATTAATTGCTTTAATTTAAAACGAAAGCTAAAGTATAAAAGAATATTTTTATTAATAAATGAAAATTCTTTTTTATTAATAATAAAAAAAAGTTTTTGCTAAAGAGCCGAAATATTGCATTTCGGCTATTACAGCGTCTCGGTGTCCGAACTTATCGAGAATAAGGTTTTAATTGTTTTAAAGTTATAATTATAAAGTGTAAAAAAAGCTGAATAATAAACGAAAGTCAACTTAATTGCGAATCAAGCGATTATAATAAGCTGTATAAAGATAAAGACTAAAAGTTTGAATCCTTACGTAAGTCACTAATATAAAAGCATTTAAAAAGACGTGTTATACAAAAGCTTAATACTAAGGCTAGACCTTATAGTCTTATAAAGAAGTGCTAAAAAAGATAAGTGGAAAGCTCGTTGATTATTCTAGCTAAAAGATATGTGCCCTTTTATAAAAGATAGGTCCGTCTAGTGTAGCCTTAGTGGCCATAGCAGGTACCCTATCAGGCAAGGTGTTTACAATGTGTGCCGTTTTATAAAAGCTGGGTCCGTCTAGTATGGCCTTAATGGCCATGGCAGGTACCCTATCAGGCAGGGTGTTTATAATGCGAACGCTTATCGAAGCTTTCTTAGCTTAAGCTAAGATCTTTTCGTTAATATGCTTCGCTATTTTAAAAATCTCGTTGAAAAAGCTTTTGATTTTAATAAAAACCTTTTAAATAGCGTACGTATATTATTTAATCGAAATAATCGCTTTCGTAACTTTAAGAACCTTTTAATATACTTTTTTAATTTTATTTATAATAAAAAGATTTTTCGCTTTAAAGTTGATCGAAGTAAGTGTTTAATTAATACGAATAGCTTTAAAACGAAAAATAATAATTATATCGACGCCGTTTAGTTTATTAATAATAGCTTTATAAGCGGCGTAGCTATCAAGACGAGCTAAAAGTACGACGGAAAGTACTAGAATCAAGACTCGCTTATCTTAACGTATCTTAAATTGTTCGTTAAAAGACTTGCGAATAGCTTAAAAGCTCGTAAGTTTACGAGTCTTTACAAATCTTATTTTTATAACGAAAAAAGATCGAAATAGCTTAGCGATTGCCGATTAAATAATAGCTTTTAAGTTTTTTAAAGTTTTCAAAAGCTTCGCGGAATTTATTTATAAAATAAACTTAAAAAAAACCGTTTGCTCGCTATTATAAAAAGCAGTCGAAAGAAAAGAAAGAATAGCCGCTTTAATAGTTGCGTATAAATAAGTACGCATAAACGTAAAAAGACTTTTAAAAAACTCTTGCGTATAATATCGAAATTCGAAGTCGAGTTGATCGTTTATAATCTAGTTCGAAGCGGAAGCGTATTGCTATTAAACTCGTCGTTTAATAGCAACTGCGCGGTCGATGTCGTTAAAGTAGCTTTCGATAGCTTTCGTCGCCGTATTAATAATCGATGTTCTTCGTTTTAATACGAAAAGAAAAAGCTATAAATTAATAATAGCATTCTTTTTTCTCTTTTTAAAGTGCTAAGTAAAGTTAAACAGCGATGCAACGTCTTAAAGCTATATATAATTAGCGTTATTAATACCAGGGCAAAGGACCAAGTTCTTTGTAGTGTCACCAACGAGCTAATTATTCGATTTATAAAAATCTTTATATATTA